TAGTAGTAGTAGTAGTAGTAGTAGTAGTAGTAGTAGTAGTAGTAGTAGTAGTAGTAGTCGCCGTAGTAGTAGTAGTAGTCGTATTAGTAGTAGCATTAGCAGTAGTAGTAGTTGTAAGTCGTAGTAGTAGTAGTAGTAGTAGTAGTAGTAGTAGTAGTAGTAGTAGTAGTAGTAGTAGAAGCAGTCGTGCTAGCCGAAGTAGAAGTAGCAGAAGTAGTAGTAGTAGTAGTAGTAGTAGTCGTAGTAGTAGTAGTAGTAGTAGTAGTAGTAGTAGTAGTAGTAGTAGTAGTAGCGTTGGTCGTAGTAGCAGGGGTAGTTGTAGTCGTAGTCGTAGTAGTAGTCGTAGTCGTGGGCCGTAGTCGTCGTCGGCGTCGTAGTCGTCGTCGGCGTTGTCGCAGTCGTAGTCGTAGTCGTAGTCGTGGCCGTCGCCGCTGTCGTAGTCGTAGTCGTGGCCGTAGTCGTAGTCGTAGTAGCAGTAGGTGTCGCAATCGCGCTTGTAGTAGTGGTAGTCGCACAAGTAACTCGTATAATTAGTTGTAGTATTACTTGGAGTAGTAGTAGTAGTAGTAGTAGTAGTAGTAGTAGTAGTAGAAGGAGGAGGGGTAGTAGTAGAAGTAGTAGTAGTAGTAGTAGTAGTAGTAGTAGTATTAGTAGTAGTAGCATCAGTAGTGGCACTAGTAGTAATAGTAGTACTAGCAGTAGTAGTAGTAGCCATAGCAGCAGTAGTAGTCGTAGTAGTAGTAGTAGTAGCAGCAGTAGTAGTAGTAGTAGTAGTAGTAGTAGTAGTAGTAGTAGTAGTAGTAGTAGTAGTAGTAGAGTAGTAGTAGTAGTAGTAGTAGTAGTAGTAGTAGTAGTAGTAGTAGTAGTAGTGGTCGTAGTAGTAGTAGTCGTAGTAGTAGTAGTCGTAGTAGCACAAGTAGTCGTAGTAGTAATAGTGGTGGTCGACCTGTTCGTAGCCGTAATAGGTGCAGTAGCAGTAGTCGTAGTAGTAGAACTGAGGGCTGTAGCGCCAAAAGTCGCAGTAGTAGTAGTAGTAGCAGCCTTAGATGCAGTTGCAGTATTAGTAGTTGTATAGTCTTAGTGTTAGTATCACTTGCAGAAGTAGTATTAGTAGCGGTAGCAGTATAAGTCGTATTAGTAGTAGTAGTAGTAGTAGTAGTCGTAGTAGTAGTAGTAGTAGTAGTAGTAGTAGTAGTAGTAGCAGTCGTAGTAGTAGTAGTAGTAGTAGTAGTAGTAGTACTAGTCGTATGTAATCTAGTATAGTAGTAGTAGCAGTAGTAGTCGTAGTAGTAGTAGTAGTAGCAGTAGTGGAAGTAGTAAGACGTAGTCGTAGCCGTAGTAGTAGTAGCAGGAGTAGTAGTAGTAGTAGTAGTAGTAGTAGTAGTAGTAGTAGTAGTAGTAGTAGTAGTAGTAGTAGTAGTAGTAGTAGTAGTAGTAGTAGTAGTAGTACTAGTAGTAGTAGTGGTAGTGGTAGTGATAGTAGTAATAGTTGTCGTAGTCGTAGCCGCAAAGGTCGTAGTAGTTGTAGTAGTACTCGCAGGGGCATTCGTAGTAGTCGTAGTAGAAATTGCCGCGGTAGTAGTAGTAGTAGTCGTAGTAGTAGTAGTAGTAGTAGTAGTAGTAGTAGTAGTAGTCGTAGTAGTAGTAGTCGTCGTAGTAGTAGTAGTAGTAGTATAGTAGTAGTAGTAGAAGTAGTAGTAGTAGTAGTCGTCGTAGTAGTCGTAGTAAGTAGTAAGTAGTAGTAGTAGTAAATAGTCGTAGTATAATAGTAGTATAGTAGGTGTACTGGATTAGTAGTCGTAGTTGTCTCGTAGTTAGCAGAGAAGTAGTAGTCGTAGTGTGTGGAAGTATTAAGTATGTAGTCGCAGTAAGTAGAATAGTCGTATAGTAGTATTTATAAGTAGTAGCAAGCGCAGCAGCAGCAAAGCAGTATAGTGAGTAGTAGTAAATAGTATAGTATTAGTAGAAGTAGTAGTAAGGAGTAGTAAAGAAGTAGTATAGTGGTAAGTAGTAGTAGTAGTAGTCAAGCAGTAGTAGTAGTAGTAGTAGTAGTAATAGTCGTAGCGATCGAAATCGTACTAGTAAGCGGTAGTCGTAAGTTGATAGTCGTAGTAGTAAGTAGTAAGTATTAGTCGTAGTAGTAGTAGTATTAGTAGTAGTAGTAGTAGTAGCAGTAGTAGTAGTTGTAGTAGTAGTAGTAGTAGTAGTAGTAGTAGTCGTAGTAGTAGTAGTAGTAGCAGTAGTAGTAGTAGTAGTAGTAGTAGTATAAGTCGTCGTCGTGGTCGTGGCAATAGTAGTAGTGGTAGTAGTAGTAGTAGTACTACTAGTAGTAGTAGTCGTGGTCGTCGTAGTCGTAGTGGTAGTAGTCGTGGAAGTAGCCGTGGTAGTAGTAGTAGTAGTAGTAGTAGTAGTAGTAGTGGTGGTAGTAGTAGTAGTAGTAGTAGTAGGAGTAGTAGTAGTGGTAGTACTCAGTAGTAGTAGAAGTAAAGAGTAGTAGTAGCAGTAGCAGTAGCTGTAGTAATTATAGAAGTAAGTAGTAGTAGTAGTAAGTAGTAGGAGTAGTAGTAGTGGTAGTAGTAATTGGGAGCAAGGGGTAGTAGTGGTATTAAGTAGTAGTGAGTAGACGAAAGTAGAAGTGGTAGTTTACGTAAACGAAGTATTAGTAGTAGTAGAAGTAGTAGAGTCGTAGTAGTAGTAGTAGTAGTAGTAGTAGTAGTAGTAGTAGTAGTAGTAGTCGTAGTCGTAGTAGTAGTAGTAGTAGTAGCAGCAGCAGTAGTAGTAGTAGTATTAGTAGTAGTAGTAGTAGTAATCGAAGTACTGGTAGTAGTAGTGGTAGTAGTAGTAGTAGTAGTAGTCGTTGTAGTAGTAGTAGTAGTGGTGGTAGTAGCGGTAGTACTCGTAGTAGTAGTAGTAGTAGTAGTAGTAGTAGTAGTAGTAGTCGTCGTAGTAGTGGTGGTGGTAGTAGTATTGGTAGTGAAAGTAGTTGTAGTAGTGCTAGTAGTAGTAGTCGTAGTAGTAATAGTGGTAGTAGTAGTAGTAGTAGTAGTAGTAGTAGTAGTAGTAGTGGTTGTAGTTGTTGTAGTAGTAGCTGCAGTCGTAGAAATATGAGTAGTGGTGGTAGTATAGTAGTCGTAGCGGTAATAGTAGTAAGTAGTAGTAGTAGTAGTAGCAGTAGTAGTACTAGTAGTAAGTAAAAGTAGTTAGTATATAGTAGTAGTAGTAGTAAGTAGTCGTAGTAGTAGTGTCGTAGTTTCCCGTAGCCGTAGCCGTAGTAGTAGTAGTTGCAGTAGTAGTAGTAGTAGTAGTAGTAGTAGTAGTAGTAGTAATGATCGTCGTAGTAGTAGTAGTAGTAGTAGTAGTAGTAGTAGTACTGACAGTAGTAGTAGTAGTAGTAGTAGTAGTAATAGAGAGTAGTAGTGCTAATCGTAGTATAGTCGTAGTAGTAGCGTAGTAAGTAGTAGTAGTAGTAGTAGTAGTAGTAGTAGTAGTAGTAGTAGTAGTAGTAGTAGTAGTAGGCGTAGTAGTAGTAGTAGTAGTAGCAGTAGTAGTAGTAGTACTGGTAGTAGTACAAGTCGTAGTCGTAGCCGTCGCCGTCGCAATGGAATGGGGGCCCCCGACCGGGAAATAGTTTTGTTTCGTTCTCGTCGCGCGGGCAGGCGAGGCGTGTATATACATATATATATATATATACACATACATTTATATGCATATATGCGTGGTGGTAGTATGGGTGGTCGTATATATATATGTGCGTAGTGGTAGTAGTAGTAGTAGTAGTAGTAGTAGTAGTAGTAGTAGTACTAGTAGTGGTCGTATATATATATATGCGTCGTAGTAGTGGTAATATTAGTAGTAGTCGTAGTAGTAGTAGTAGTAGTAGTAGTAGTAGTAGTAGTAGTAGTAGTACTGATAGTGGTACTCGTAGTAGTCGTTAGTGGTGTTAGTAGTAGTAGTGGCCGCAGTAGTAGTAGTGGTAGAAGTAGTGGTAGGAGTAGTAGTAGTAGTAGATGTTCTGGCAACCGTAGTCGTAGTCGTAGTGGTAGTCGTAGTGGTAGTAGTCGTGGGGGGTAGTAGTCGTAGTAGTAGTAGTAGTAGTAGTAGTAGTAGTAGTAGTAGTCGTAGTAGTAGTAGTAGTAGTAGTACCAGTAGTAGTAGTACTAGTAGGGGTAGTAGTAGTAGTAGTAGTAGTAGTAGTAGTAGTAGTAGTAGTAGTAGTAGGAGCGGTGGTAGTAGTAGTAGTAGTGGTAGTAGTAGTAATAGTAGTAGTAGTAGTAGTAGTAGTAGTCACTAGTTGTAGCCGTAGTAGTCGTAGAGTATAAGTCTTTTTTTAAACTTATAGTCGTAGTAGTACTTAGTAGTAGTAGTAAGTATAGTAGTAGTGGAGTAAGTAGTAGTGTAGTAGTAGTCTATTCATCGTAGCCTCATAAGTAGGGCGTCGTAGTCGTCGTAGTAGTAGTCGTAGTATGAGTAGGAGTAGTAGTAGTAGTAGTAGTACTAGTAGTAGTAGTAGTAGTAGTAGTAGTAGTAGTCGTAGTAGTAGTCGTAGTCGTAGTAGTAGTAGTAGTAGTAGTAGTAGTAGTAGTAGTAGTAGTAGTCGTGGTAGTAGTAGTAGAAGTAGTGGTAGTAGTAGTAGTAGTAGTAGTAGTAGTAGTAGTAGTAGTACTAGTAGTAGTAGTCGTCGTCGTACTAGTGACAGTAGTAGTAGTAGTAGTAGTAGTAGTAGTCGTAGTTGTTGTTGTCGTTGTTGTCGTCGTCGTCGTCGTCGTTGTCGTCGTCGTAGTACTAGTAGTAGTAGTAGTAGTAGTAGTAGTAGTAGTAGTAGTAGTAGTAGTAGTAGTTTTTGTAGTAGCAACGAGCACGACCACGACCCGATTGTCGTTGGGAGTCCGTATCCTTCAATTAGCCACCAGAGGGAGTATCCAAAACCTATCGCCTATAGGTATTATCCGGCACATCCGCGCCCTGGCGGTCTGGATTCCACGGCGTGATTTCGCAGATACGCGGCCGCACGGATGCGTTACGCGATGGGCGTCCGCGAAAACGCGCCCCGCATCCGCGGGGTCGCGGCCCAAGGGCCTCTCCCGCGCGGATGCGGATACGATTTTCGCATGCGAGGTGAAGGCTTTCGTGGATGAGCTGCTCGGCATGGAGGGCGCCAAGGAACCAGTGGTGCAGAGCGGTAACATTTACGGCGTCTCGGACGCATTCCACGACATCAACGGGGATCTCATAATGCATGAACTCAGCACGGGCAACAGGCTCGCGGCTCTCTCCAGGGCGGACCAGGAGAGGGCCTTGTCGATCTTCAAGATCTTTTTCTGCAGCGCCAGGCTCAGGAACAGGAACCCACTGTTCCCGAGCTTGGTGGACGCGGCCCTTATCGGCAACCTGCTGAACTTCCCGAAGCACGTCTTCGGCCTGCCGTTCGCCTGCTTCGCGTCCGACGGCAACGAGGCGCTGTCCCTGCTCTTGTACTCCTACCGCCAGGAACAGCAGGGCCGGGCCGCTCCGACCGTGCTCTTTGTCGGGGACGCCGGCGAGTCGCTGCCTGACGTTCGCCATTGCGCCAAGCGCCTCGGACTCGAGCTTGTCGAGGTTGAGGAGGGCGAGCTGCCTGTGTTTCAGAATAATCGGAGGGCACCAACTGGCCAGACCGACCCTGGGCCCAGGAATGGCGTATATGCCTTCCTACCCAAGCCGGGAAGGCGTATACATCGAGCCTGGGCCCAGGCTGAGCCTGGCCAGGATCGGTACAGGTCTGGTTGGCGCCCCCTTGCAGCAGCCGCGCGCCGGTCGCCCGGTCGCAGTGGTGGCACTTCTGGGCAGCGCGTCGCTGGGAGATGCCGCCGCGTGGGCGGAGCGGCACGCCGCTGGCCTCCACGTCCACGTCCCAGACGCGCAGTTGCGCAGGATCTTCACAGAGATCGACGGTTCGAAGAGTGGTCTCTGTGGAACGGCGAGTGTCGTCTAACTCATCCCCATCCCCGACTGGGCCATGGTATCTCAGCTCCACCAGCCCACCCTCCTGGGTGGGGATCGGCCCCGCGAAACGAAAAGTAGCAGGCACATATCCCAACTAGGTGGGCAAGTCGGGCAGTGGGGCCAAGGCCACGCCAGTTGGGATAGGGATCGGTTCAACGATGCTCAGATCGGGCCCCGAGGATAGGAAAGGCTTTCCCAGACTCACGACGTCGTGGTTCTTTCCAATCATGGATCGCATGAGTTCTGGACCTTTTCCTGAATCTGGATTTCTTATTCATGTTTTTTCGACTGCCCAGGGGCGAACATTATCAAGAGCCGTTCGTCGTAAACTTTTTCTAAGCAAGAGGAGGTCTTGGTTTCAGGTTGATTTGCATCGTTCAAGGCCTCACCCTGGGCCCCATGTCTCAGGGCCCCTCTTTGAAGCGCCGAAGAGAACGCGTCCTCGGTTCACCTCGAGCTTCCGCGGGGGGTCCGCAGTGTCAGCATCGAGGAGGGCCTCCTCAACTGCGGCTACATTGGAAGAAGGCGAGCTCGGCATCAGCATAAGCTGTTGGAAGTCTGTGCGGAAACTCATGGATCGGTGCTGGACCCCCCTGGCAGCGCGGTCCGCGCGCCAGGGGGTGGGGGGCCTGGCTCCGATCCGACGCGCCGAAAGCGCATGCTCATGCCGATGCTCCTTCTTCTGTACATGCTGTACCGCGACGCCGCGCTGCGGGATCTGCACATAGACGTGCCGCACGAGTGGCAGTGCGTCTACCTGTCGCCGAACGAGGGGGGCAGCTGCAGCAGCAGGCCGTTATTGCACGACCTCTGCACGCTCTTGCTCGGGTGGGCCGCCGTCGCGGATATCGCGCGTGGAACACCTGCGCCAGACAGGAGCCGATACGAGTGGCAGCCGATCCGCTTGGCCGCACCGGGGGCGTCGGTGGAAGAGGCCACTCGAAGAAGAAATAGCGACAGTAACATGATTGTTCGGAGGCCCGCGTGGAATTCTTGGACCGGCGCTGGACCCCCCCCTGGCGGCGTTTCCAGCGCCGCTTCTGGCGCGCAAGGGAGGGGGGTTCAGCGCAGGTCCAAGAAATCGGCGCTGATTTCCGAGGGCTTCTATTTATGTTGTTTTTTCTTCTTTTTGTCACAGCGGAGCAGGTGCTCGAGTGGGCCACAGCCAGGATGGAACCCGGGTCACCGGCCTTGAGGGAGGAGCTGGAGGCTGAGGTGATCAGCTTCCAGCAGGAGTTCATGGGGGGCCGCGGCGTCGAGGCCGAGGGCATGACCACGGGTGGGGGCACGCGCAGCATCAACTGCGCATTTGAGGCCGTGATGTCCAGGGACGAGGCCCGCGGCCGCCCCGGCCCGCGCCTGCGGGTGCTGACTGGCAACCCGCACCTGGCAGTGGAGAGGGCCGCGCGGAGATTCGGATTTGAGGTGATCAGGCTGGACGTGGATGGCGCGATATGCGTCGACAAGCTTCGGGACCACATCTCAGATCCGTGCGTCACCGCTGTGTACGCGCAGTCGCTCAGCTACACCGACGGCACCAGCGATGCGCTTGCGGAGGTCTTGGCCGTAGTGGAGTCTGAGAATAAGGACCGTGCAGCCAAGGAGGGTGTGCCAGTGGTTCTGATAAACGACAGTTGCCTGGCCTTCAGCGTGCTCATCCACAACGATGGTGAAGGCGGCTCCCGGAGCATGCGCCTGCTCGACCTCGCGGAAGGCTGCATCACCCCTGTCATCGTCACGCAGGACGCGCACAAGCATTTGGGCACCGACAAGGGCCTCTCGACGATCGTGGGCACCCGCGGGATCTTGTCGTCCCTACAGGGCGTCAGGCGGGTCGGTGCCCGGCCTGGAGCAGCGGACCTGATGCGCGCCTTGGCGGACATGAAGCTCGTGGGCAGGCAGGGCTATGTCGAGCTGTACAGGGAACTCGAAGGGAGAATCACCGAGGCTGCAAGCAAGATTGAGTCTGCTGGCATGAAAGTGCTCCACGCGCACAACAGGATGCCGGGGTCCACCGTTATCACGGTGGAGGATCCTAGCGGGGCAGTTTCCACGAGAATGAAGAAGAAGGGCTACCGCACTTCGCCAATCTACCTCGCATGTCCCAGCGCCGCCTCCGCGTGCCAGACTGGGTGGCAATTGTGTCTGTCGCCTCACCATTTACTTGAAACTTTTATGGGGGATCTTGTCCCGACGAGTCGGGCGGTCTACGGGTCCACCGTGGCCCGCTTGTCCAGGAGGTTCTTGCGCGAGAATTCGCTCCTCGCATTCCTGGTCGCTGGCAATCCCGACACGTTCCTGTTCCAGTTGTTGCGAAAGGAGGGTATCGGTCGCAAACTGGCTGGCCATATGATCCGCAGATACATTACCGCCCAGCTCGACAGCGGGACCGTGCGCACCCTAAAGCGACGCGACCCAGTCTGGCAGTTTGCTTGCAAGGGCAGCTTGTGGTTGCTGCTACTCTCACTGTCGACAGCGCTGTTCAGAAGGCTGGCCGCTCTGAAACGTTCCCTGCGCGGCCGCTAGGCGGCCTGCTCCGTGGGGAGGGCATGTGAGGATCCTCTCGCGCCTCCGTCCACGAAAAAGGCGCTGGTTGATCTTCCCACCGCGTGCGCTGCGCGCTGGAAGCGCCTTGCATTCTGCTCCGTGCCTGTCCGCCATGTACCGGACTGCACAGTAGCTGAAGTTCGGGCGTTTTTGAACTTGTTTTGGTTTCTGAGTGCTTCTCTTGACACTGTCACCTACGACAAGTACTTGGCGGGTTTTCCCATCGTCGCTCATTCACCACGAGAAGGGTGGAGCGTGTAAGAGTAAGAGTCTGAGTACGATCCTGCCATCGTCAAGCAACGGCGAAGCGTCCCGATTTGCCCATCAGCCCACCACATATTGTTCGAACCACTTTTTGGTGGTTTGCACGAGATGTGCTCAGAACCTTTCTGGCGGAGGCAGTCTTGGTTCAATTGCAGTTGTGAGTACTGTCGTTGTGAGATTCGCCTTCGGTGGATCTCTTTATGAGGCCATGAAGCGCGTGAAGGTAATGCCGAAATGTGGCGGGGCCTTCGAGCATCGCGATGGGCATGAAATGGAGGAGGGGGGCCAGCAACAGGGGCCACGGGGGCCTTCGGTTGAGCACCCTATGGGGCCACGAAAAGTGCAACAGCGCCGCCGAAATGCGGGGTGGAACAGCATGCGGGCGCTGCCACTGGTGCCTTCGGTGGATCTCCCTATAATGTGGCCAGGAAACGTGTGAGGGGTTTGCCGAAATTCAAGGTGGAGCATGCGGGCGCTGCCTCTGGGGCCTTAGGTGGAGCTCCCTGTGGGGCCGCGAAGCGTGTGAGGGGTTTGCCAGAATGGAGGGTGGAACTGCATGCGGGCGTTGCCATTGGGGCCTTTGGTGGAACTCCCTGGTGCCACGAAACGTGTGAGGGGTGAGGGGTGCACCGAAATGGGGGTGGAACCGCGTGCGGGCGCTGCCATTTGAGGCCTTGTGTGGAGCTCCCTGTGGGGCCACGAAGCGTGTGAGGGTTGCACCGAACTTGGGGTGGAACCGCATGCGGGCGCCGCCACTGGGGCCTTGGGTGGTCCCAGTGAGGCCACGCGAAGCGTGTCAGGGGTGCACCGAACTTTGGGTGGAACCGCATGCGGGCGCTGCCTCTGGGGCCTTGTGTGGAGCTCCCTGTGGGGTCTCGAAGCGTGTGAGGGGTGCACCGAAATTGGGGTGGAACCGCATGCGGGCGCTGCCACTGGGGCCTTCGGTGGAGCTCCCTGTGGTGCCACGAAGCGGCGTGTGAGGGGTGCACCCGAATGGGGGTGAAACCGCGTGCGGGCGTTGCCACAGGGGCCGTCCTTGGAGCTCCCCATGGTGCAACGAAGCGTGTGAGGGGTGCACCGAAATTGGAGTGGAGCCGCATTCGGGCGCTGCCTCTGGGGCCTTCGGTGGAGCTCGCTGTGGGGCAACGAAGAGTGCCAGGGGTGCACCAGAATGGGTGTGGAACCGCGTGCGGGCGTTGCCACAGGGGCCTTCGGTGGAGCTCTCTATTGGGCAACGAAGCGTCGGAGGGGTGTTGCGAAACAGTGTCCTGCGGAAGGCAACGCGCACGAAACCGAAGATGGGCATCCGAGCGATGGCAAGTCTAGGCCTCCCAAATGGGGTCAGAGTATCGAAAAAGAATCAATGACACAAGCATGCGTACACTTTGAGTGCTCCGGCGCGGAGCGCGCCCCCTTGACGGCGCCTGCGGCGCCGCCCGTGGCGCGCTCCGCGCGCTAGGGACGGAGGTTCAGCGCAGATCCAAGAAATTCTTGCGGACTTGCGAAAGTTTCTTCCCCACATCCAAAGTGGGGTGTTTGACTTCTCTGGCCACCCCGCGCAGTGCTTCTCCTCATCCCCCTCTCTCCCTCATCACCGTCACAATCATCATCACACTCATCATCATGGTCATTATCACCATCCCCTCAGGATCATCAACCATGATGATGATGATGATGATGATGATGATGATGATGATGAAAATGATGATGATGATGATGATGATGTTGATGATGTTGATGTTGATGATGATGATGATGATGATGATGATGATGATGATGATGATGACGATGGTGGTGGTGGTGGTGGGGGTGATGGTGCTGATGATGATGATCATCATCATCATCATCATCATCATCCTTATCATCATCGTCATCGCTATCATCATTATCATCATCAGCATCATCATCAGCATCATCATCGTCATCATCATCATCATCATCCGCCCACTCCTTTCATGCACTCACATTTGCTCATCATTCACTCAGTCACTATCATGTGATGGCCCCATTAGAGTCAACGGCCATTATTATCATGCCCATCATCAACACTATCGCACGTCACCATCGTCATACTAGTGCGCGCACGTCTTGCGTAGCGTGTGTGGCTCAAAGGGGGGCTCCCTGGATGCATATGCAGGTTGATCCTCTGCTGCTGTACACACTCACTCGAGACTCTCTGTCAGGAGTGTACCATCTCTTTTCTAGAACACAGGTGGAGGAAGCGTGTCCTCCTTTTGTCTGCCAGTGCGTCGTCTCGGGCGAGGCGAGTGGAGAGTGCCCCGCGCTCGAGCGTCTGGTCTCCCAGCAGCTTCAGGGCCCGACAACCAGCACGACGAGCTACGAGATCAACTTCGTGTCGCACGCCAGTTTCGTCGCGGTGGCCTTCGTGGTGGGAGCTCTCTTTGGTCGTGGTTGCTCGTTTCGCAGTTCCAAGCGGGCGGTCAGCCTGACAGATGGCGCAGCTGGTGGCAGCAGCCGGGCAGGCAGGAGCGGCGGGGCAGGCGGTGGTGTCATCGTCGTTGGCCCCGGGGCGTAAGGTGCTGGTGCGGTACGGCGATGACCTCTGGCACGTTCGCATCCTGCTCGCTCGAGTTGAGGACACAAGGTGGATCATATACACACCGGACAGTGACCTGTATGAGGAGGACTACGGCCCGAACAACGGCGACATCACTGGTGTGCGAGCGTTCAAGGCGGACGGCAGCATCCCGGCGAGCCTGCAGGGTGCCAACATCTACAACTTCAGGGCAGGTGCTGAACCCGATCAGGCCGCGCTGCGCGGCCTGATGGAGGAGGCGCAGGACCTGATGGCACTGGCCGGCCGCGGAGCGGCTCCGCCTGGGGCCGAGCCAGAGGTCTGGCTGTTCGTGGAGTCGAACGCAGTGTTCTCGGTCGGAGACGAGTGCCCAGGGCAGCCAGAAGTCATTGTCGAGAAGCGCGGCATCGCTCGCGCCGGGCTGGACGTGCTCTTGGTGGAGAAGGTGGCGAGGAACCAGGTCGAGCAGTGGAAGACGGACCGCGCTGCCTCCAGCGACGCGCGGGTGCTGCCGGTTCGGTGCTCCCCTTCCGGCGAGCGGCTGCGCAGCTGGGCAAACGTGGCGGAGAGTGTGAACGAGAGTGCGATCGACCATTGGCCTGTGAAGAGGCCGAGGACAGCGCAGTGGGTGGCCCGCTTCATGGGCCGTCGCAACACAGGGCCAAAGGACCACCACCGCTGGTGGAGATCGACCGCCCGCCTGAACGCCTCTGATTGGGGCGTGGCCGAGCATGGCCAGCTGTGCTCGTACCTTGAGGCGGCGGGGAGCGTGGACCAACTCGACCTGTCGAATCTGGTGGCGATGGAGAAGATCGCACGCCGGCTCCAGACCATAGAGTACCAGTACGCGGAGAAGGTTCGAGAGGGAGAGCGCGGTGGGACCGCCGGCGCTCCTTCCTCCGTCGCGGGTTCGGCGGTCATCGCGAATGACGAGATGGACCTGTTCGAGGGGCGGCAGCGCGTCAACCCTACGGCGTGCTGCGCCCCGACCATCATCGAGCACGTGAGCAAGGAACTAGAGAAGGAGTCGCATATCCAGAAGCAGGCCAGGAAAGCACGAGAAGAAAGAGCCCTACTTCGTCAGCCCCCAGGCGGAGGTGGTCGTGGCCGTGGGGGCGGCGGGCAATGAGCACACGCAGGGCCGTCGGAGATGGCTTCATCCGGCGGCCAGCAGTGCAGGAAGGCCATCCTTCGCTCCGAGGAGCGAGAAATTCGAGTGCGAAGTCGGGTCGGCTACTTTCGTCGACGGAGCCTCGGCAACTTTTAGAACATCGGGTAAAAGCATCGGGGTCAGAGCCCTCGATCTGTGCGACTAGGCGGCCGCCAGGGCTGAGCAGTCTTCCAGTCTCATCTGAGCAGTGGTTGAATAGGCTTAGTCATGACGCCGCCTCCGTCCTCACGGAGATGTAGCTCGGTGGTGCTCCGTGCTGTCCTGCTGGCGCTGCTTCCTCTCTGGGCGAGGGCAGCATGGGGCACCTCCGGGAACGTTGCAGTAGGATGCCCCCCCCCCCGCCGGTGCTCAGCCGGCCGAGGCTTTTTCGAGCATCAGCGGTGGGTGTGACTACTCTGGCGAGAGTTCGCCAGCAGTTCCCCTGGGCGAGTCTCTGCTGTCGCTTAGGCCAGCAGGGACGGCCCCAACTGATATTTGTCAGCTTCTGGGCCCCAAAGGTCGCGAGGAAGTCCAGGCGTGGGTGTGCGAGCATGTGCTACCGTACTCGGTAGGCGTGCGCAGTTTCGAAGCGATCAAGATGAAGATTTATTATGACCCTGGTCTTCGCAGGTTTGTGCGCCGATATGCACGCGTGCTGCGTGACAGGAACATGGTTGAGTTTGCGTGCGAGGAGGGTGGCGCTTGCGTAGGACTTTTTACTGTGCGCAAGAAGAGCGGTGCCCAGCGCCTGATTGCCGATTGTCGGCCGTCCAATTGCTTTTTCACGAGTAGTGACCATGTCGAGCTGCCCACGTCGGGCGCTCTATCCAGGTTGAGGCTCGAGGCCGGAGAGCAGCTGCATCCCTGAGGTCCAGAAGGACTGTTTTCCAGTCCGGCTGTGATGTATAGCCACAGGACTAGAAAAATAGTACCATCGCATGATAATGTATACATTATAAAAGTTTGATGTCTTTCTACAGATTTGGTGATATTAGCCTAAAACACATTGTAAATCATAAATAAAAGGGAAACGCACGACGATACACGCCAGCTCCTCGTGAGCACCCCGCAACACGAGGGGTTGCGGACTTAAAACTGACGTTTCCCGCTGCACCCATCCCTTTCTCCTCTGCCTCTTCTTCCGCCTCCGCCTCCTCCTTCTCCGTCTCGTTCGACTCCTCTCCTCCTCCTCCCCCTCTTCCTCCCCTTCTTTCTATTTCGCTCTGTTCCTGTCCTCTGCCCTTCACCGGTGGCCAATCCTACCCCACTCGAGTGGCCGTGATCACGGCCCCTCCCCTTTCTTCCCCTGTCGGGGGGTGGCCCATTTCGCAGTAACGTGCTCGAGCCATTATGGGCGGTGGCAAGAAAAGGCGCCCCGCGGAGCGCGGGTTTCCAGGGCAGCGCGGGGCTGGCCAATGTGCTGCAGAAGCACGTCGTGACGGCTGAGACGTGACGATCTCAGTTGTCATGGCCAGCGGGCTACTGGGGAAGGGGGTATACATCTCCTCCTCCCCCTCCCCCCCCTC